GTTCGTGAGCTCATCTCCTCTTAGCTCTCACAGATCACAGAATCACAGTTTTCACTATCTGATGGTCTGAAAAAGGTAGTTTAAATATTTTAGTATAACTCTGGTTTAACTTGGGCTGTCAACAGAAATAAAAACTGTTGTTTAGTTTATAATCTGCATTTTAAACATAAAAAGAAACCGAAGCTCAGAGAGGCGGAGTCCAGCTGCTGCGGTGCCAGAAAGGTGCATTTTCATTGGTCCGTTGCAGACAAGAGTCATAGGATTTTTGAGGCCGATTTGGTTGTGAGACGGCTAAAAAGCTGTCGCAGAGCTGGTCACAGTGGACGACCACAGCATGGTGCACACATATGCAAATCATCCTGACGTTGACGGGTGTTTTTTTCGCGATTATGCTGAGGGCGAGGGATTTGGCAAAGACGGCCAAAAATCGCAGTGTGATCCAGGCTTAAGGCATCTATAAGATCAATATAAGATATTGATCCATCGACCCCGCGCTGAAAGAGGACGTAGATCTGACAATTGTCAGCATAAAAATGAAAACGCATGCCATACCACCGAAGAAGATTCCCCAACAGTATTAGGTAGATGGCAAATAGAAGAGGACCCAGTACAGACCCCTGAGGCACACCACACTTGTATCCCGCCCAGGTTGAGGAGGTTTCACCTACAGTGACACAAAAACTCCTGTCACATAAGTAGGAGCGTAGCCATTGTAGGGCTGCACCGGTAATTCCCACCCAGAGTTGTAGACGATCCAGAAGAATGTCCTGATCGACTGTATCAAAGGCTGCTGACAGCTCCAACATCAAAAGAATGACGGCATCTCCCCGACACAAGATAAAAAAGCATCGTTAAGAACCACTAAAAGCAAGTGGTGCTCGCTGCAGAACCACAAAGGCGGAGCTGCACCAGAAGGTGGAGCTGCACCAGAAGGTGGAGCTGCACCACAAGGTGGAGCTGCACCAGAAGGTGGAGCTGCACCACAAGGTGGAGCTGCACCAGAAGGTGGAGCTGCACCAGAAGGTGGAGCTGCACCAGAAGGTGGAGCTGCACCAGAAGGTGGAGCTGCACCAGAAGGTGGAGCTGCACCACAAGGTGGAGCTGCACCACAAGGTGGAGCTGCACCAGAAGGTGGAGCTGCACCACAAGGTGGAGCTGCACCAGAAGGTGGAGCTGCACCACAAGGTGGAGCTGCACCACAAGGTGGAGCTGCACCACAAGGTGGAGCTGCACCACAAGGTGGAGCTGCACCACAAGGTGGAGCTGCACCACAAGGTGGAGCTGCACCAGAGTCAGCCCCGCTCATTCCATCAGAGTCAGTCCAATTCCTTCCAGTTGTCAGACTTGATAGCATTCTGGAACCAAAGAGGGTGTTATAGCTAATATTATCTAAAATGCAAGATTGAGGACAGAGTTGAGAGGTTAATTGAACAGTTTTTGTAAAGGTTCCATAATAAAAAATCTAACGTTTGGAACTTTTTACCATGTTATATTGTCATTTCCTCATAAGAAACACGCCAAAGCCATTTTTGGCCTCATTCATGCATTTTCATCCCATCTCAGCTTCAGTTTGGTCTCCTCCCCTGAAGCGGGTCTGGTCTTGGTTCTCAAATCCGGGTATTCTGTGAATTTTCGGACAAATTATTTCTGAAATGACTTCTACTGAGACACCGGCGGAAAAACCATACATCCCATCTACAAAGACACTCTGGATGGCACAATTACATGTAACGCCACTTGCTTTTTATCAGATGTAGTGGTGAAGTGGTTATGGAGTCAGATTGACATGCAGTTTTGCGCAGGTTCACCTCCCAGCATCGGCAGTATAAAGGTAGTTTATAACCCTTTTTCATCTTTTCTAGCTACACTTGCCAGTACTATGTTTTCAACAATTTATTGGTATACCGTTTACAATATAATGACTAATGTGTTTGTTTTTTTATTTATTGTTTATTTAGCCAGTGTGAGTCCATTTGTGAGCAGAGTTTCAACTAAAATGCTGTTTAGGAACGACCAAATTCAAAGAACTTTTAGAGACATAAATATTTTGCTGAAAATAAACACTACAACTAAAATATAAACAAATGAAATGTTTCAGCTGGCTAAATAGATTGCTGCCGACCCCACAGAGAGTCGATCCAGCATCAGCTGAGCGGAAAGCAAAGCTTAAGGCAGACGATCTTGCCACTGGACTACCAGAGCCCACACAACATCAAGCCTTAACTGCTATATAGGACGCTTTTGTTAGAGCGGCTGTGGGCAGATATTTACTAAAAGAAACCTTTTCATTTCGGGATATATTCAGGCTTTGTCATGTAGCAAGTTATATTTATCTTGTTTAATTGGAGCATAGAACATAGCATTAACAATTGTAAACTAGTAACAGCAGTAATTCATGCGGGTCAGGTTAGTTTGCGATAAAGTTGAAAAACAAAAACGGAAGAAGTCAGTGGGCTAGGCTGAGTTTGCGTGAATGGGCGGGGCTGACTCTGGTGCAGCTCCACCTTATGGTGCAGCTCCGCCTTTGTAGTTCTGCAGCGAGCACCCTCTCACTAAAAGCGCAATCTTGGTACTGTGACCTGCTCTAAACTCTGAAAGATCTCCCAAAGTTTAGGAGTGTCTAAAAATGCAACCAACTGTGAATATACAACCCTCTCAAGCAATGTAGATATGAAGGGTGGATGTGGAATAGGTCTGTAACTGGCTAACACATTTTCCTCCATCCCCTTCTATTTCAACAGATGTCCCACAACAGCCCTCTTAAAGGTAAGGGGGACCACACAGGAGCCCAGACTGGCATTTAAAATAACCAGTAAGTATGGGGTCAGGACAGAAAAAAGCCTGCTTAGACATCCTGGGGGAAGAGGATCACAGGGGGAACCGGAAGGTTTTTGCTTTGTAACGAGCTCCTCCAACTCTGTTATAGATATAAACTGAAAGGCTGGCAGGTTGACCCTCGGTGGTATAGGTTCTACGAGAACCGTAGCATGGTCTAAAATAGCAGCCCGAATCATAGCTATCTTGTCCACAAAGTAGTGAAGGAAGTCTTCACAAGTTCCGGCCAACAATGAGCTAAGACTAACACGAGCCAACTAATACTAAATAAACCACAAAGCCAAAAGATCCACACTGTTGAACAAAAACATTTACTACTTATAAGTCCAGTAGCAACAAAGCCAGGTCACCATCAGTCTATGATGTCATACCCTCCTTCAGCTTCCGCAAAGTATCTATATACTATATAAGTATAGTGTTATCCGAATCTGACGCCATGGCAGCCTTGAGATGCCAACAACAAACCCCCATGAAGGAATGCAGACAGATGCTGTGAAAACCCGACCTACACCCCCACCCCCCCACCCCCCCACCGCCGCCTTCGGATTGGTGGACTTCAGCCTGGCGAGGTCATCAACCTGCAGGAGTCAGTGTGCTCTGCACTCCTCCCAAGATCTCCCTCCCACCTGTGGCTACAGTGGCTGAGCGCCGTAGATGGCTGCTCTCGCTGGGGAAACAGGATCCCAGCCCCCCCCCTGCCTCCTTATTGTGTGATGTTGTGCTGTGTTATCCGTTGCTTATCTGTTTGAGGTGTTTATTTGCAGAGCAAAGCTGCCCTCCTGGTGGGAGAGTAGCTATGAAGTGCCTTTTTTTCCCTCTTCCCGAATCAATTCCTCATGTTACCCTCTTATCTCTATTAAGGTAGCGCGACTCGGGGTTGCGAATGACCACAGTCACCAATTCTTGTCATGTGTCTTGCCCATGTATGTCTGATCTCTGAATTGTGTGTACTGAAACTCTAATTTCCCTCTGGGATTAATAAAGTTTGATTGATTGATTGATTGATTGATTGATTGATTGAAGTAGCATAGGCTGCGCCGATGTTCACTCTGGCTTTAGTGCTCTGCTTCACCTCCAGACATTACTCTCCGACTTTTACTTCCGCCATGATGCCAACAAAACAGCAAACCTTCTTTTTTCTTCTTCTTGTTTTTTTTAGTGACAAGTCAGCGAACTGAAAAAGCTAACTGCTAGCCTTATTAGCTACCGGCACAGATGTTTAGATCTAGAATATCTCAGACCCTGAGCACCATCATGCAGCCATTTTGGATGCATCATTAAAATGATTATTGCCATCTTCCTCTTTGCCCCCACCTGTAAACTTTTTTTTATGTTTTTGTTTATGCCCGCTGTGATGGCTCCACAGCTCACTGCTGCAACACACCGCTGCTCTAAGGCATTACTTTGTGCCTTTATGTCACCCACAAACACCACAATTTCAGTCTCTAGATCTAGTTGTTGCCGTGGTTACCAGTGAAAAGCCAACGATCAGCCGGCTTATTTATATATAAAGCAGGAATGTGTACACGCAGTGTTTTATAGGTGAGAATATACGTTGTGTTGAGCTTAAACAGAGTTTTAGTTCTATAAATGAGGCCCCTGGTCTGGACGACTGGGGACAACGTTCCAGACTCCAGGTCAGAGCTCTGGAGGCGGCTCATAGAGGCGTTACTCAGCATCAACATCTGCATCTCTAGGGTTCAAACACCAACAGCCAGAAACCAAAAATACAACCAAGCTGCAGGAAAACAAGACTCCACCACAAGAATGTGAACACACACACACACACACGGCAGGAAGACCTGAGGATGACCTGTTCTGGGATCAGTCAGGAACTCAAAAGAAGCACAAGAGGAGCAGAGATGCGGCGGTACACAGACAACACTGCTTTAGTGCCACGGAGCAAGGCAGGACTGGTTGCTTTGCTGCCCTCTGCTGGAGAGTGAGCACATCCCCTCATATACACACTGATCTGAGGGGAGGAGGGTCAAGATGAGGAGGCGGGGCTTCAGGGACGCACCTGTGGCTGAAAGGTGGGCCGAGGCGTCAGTCTAGGAGGAGGGACAAACTGAGGAACTTTGATTGGCTGGGCGGAGGCAGAGGTGGAGGTGGCCTGCACCTGAGACAAAACCACAGCAGATGGTGGGTCTGTGGATGTGGGCACACACCTGCGTGTTGATGAACCCGACGCCACACGCCTACAGCTGGACTTTCTATAAGACGGTTTGTTCACACCAACAGATCCGTCAGTCGGGTAACAGACGGTCCTGGTTCTGTAAAGGTCCGCATGCAGAGTCACGTCTGACCTGTTGGTTCTGGTTCTACTGCATCGGGTTGATCAGAACACATCTCAACATAAAACATAAGAATCAATGCGCCGCTCAGAAAAACAGAACCTGGAACCTCCAGGGTTCTGCTGGTTCTTCAGATCGGACCAACAGCACAGACGCTGACCTCAGGGGAGGGCAAAGGTCACAAGTCAGTCACTCTGAGCGGTCCCAGGTGTAGCCAGAGCAACACCGACCACCTGCTGTTTCCTGAGAACAAAACAAGGCTCCTCCTCCTCTCTCAGGTCTACACATCACAACACAAACAGCTGCCATCAGGGGGCGGAGCTTACCACCACGGCGTTCTTGGAAACCAAGCGCACGGGGTCCGAGCTCTGATTGGTAAGCTTGCTGGCCACCTGCAGATTGATGGGGATGTTCTGCAAGTCGGGTTTGGTGATAGCGGTGGTTACCATAGTGACGGCGGCCGGGCGCTGTGACAGGACGGAGCTGGGCAGGGTGGGCGTGGCAGCTTTGAACACCAGAGGTAGAGTCTTGGTGGTGAGGACTGGTGTGACGGTCAGCGTCTGTTCAGGGAGAGACGGGAGGCAGTCTGAGAGGAGAACATCTGGAGCTCCTCACCCCACACAGAACTCATTAATCAGTCTCAGTTAAACATGACGAGCATCTTCTAAACTAGGAGCCTCCCTGCACCCGCCCCCCCACCCTGCTGTCCACCCTTTATGACTCGTTATGCTGCCTCACTCCCAGCTAGGATTGACTGATTAGTGTTTGTCGTTAGCCAGTTTCACTTGTAAGCATCTGCCAAGCACATAAACATGATCAAACAGATAAAAGCTTTATTTTAAAATCATTTTAATGATCAGAAGATTCCAGACATTTTTTGAAGGAGTCCAGACCCCCTCGCCCAGATCTAGACCTGGTCTGCGGACCTCAGAACTTAGGTTGGACTCCCTCTGGAGCAGACCTGTGACCCGACTCACCTGTTGTAGTCCTCCAGGTATCTGCTGGCTCTGCAATAGGTTGACTGGCTTCATGTCGCTCCCTGGTGGAGGAGTTTGGACCTGCAGCTGCAGTTTGGCCTCTGGCTCCTGCTTCACTAGTAGCTCCTTTCTCAGCTGCTCCACCACCTTTTTCTGTAGAAACAACAAACAAGCCTGATTTATGCTTCTCCATCACCTGGGGAGTGCTGCAAAGCAGCAAAAAAAATGAGATAGCAGACAGATCAGACGTCACTGAGCAGCATCATAACATTATGAACACTGTAGAGTTTTAAGGGTGAAGCAGGAAGCAGCAGAGTAGCTGCTACATATCAGATGACCAGATTTATGCCGTCTTTGTCCACGTTTAACATTCGCTCCGTCATCCTGGAAGAAGGATGTGAAGCTCGCTAAACTCAAGACATTTTCCTCTTCTGTGTCTGGCTTGATGTCACTTTGGTGATGCACATTTGTAGCCCATTACTTGTTTTCACACAAAACCTAAAAAAACTTTTGTCTTTGTTTGAAAATCAGCGATTTCTAGTGTCGTTAAAATTCATGACAACCCCATTCATGTACTTGGCAGTACATGGGACCCATGGTCCAGAGGTAGATGGGAGTGGCCCAGGCTCCCCATCCAGCATATTTTAGGTGTTTCTGCTCCAGCAGGCTGATCAGGTGAATCAGGTGCGGTCTGATATGGACTAATCACCTCACCAGGTTATGGGATTCTAGCTGCTTTGAGCTGAAGAGCATCAGAACAAGTGTGGTTCTGGATCCACACTCCTTGTTAGGCTGCTGCATAACCAGGACATACCTGCTTCTCGCTGAGCGCTGTGATCTTGGCTTGAAGCTCATGGAGCTGCTTCTTCAGATCTGCATTCTAAAACAATAGAACCAGTTAGTGTGAGCAGAACTGGGTCAGAACTGAGACCCTGCCATGTGAGGTCTATCTGCTGCCTTTACCTGAGGATCCTGCTTCATCTGAGCCACCAGTTTCTGCAGAAGAACAGAACCGAGTCAGATCCAGCCTTTTCAGGACTTTACACAGATGTCAGTATACTACGACTGCTTCAGTAGTAAGCGACGGTACCGATCAGCGCCAAAAAGCATCCACAGTAACACTAAAAGTTTTATTCTGTTCAAGCATGGCATGATTGAATCCATTTGGAGGACTAGAGCAGTTGCATGATGTAAAATGTGGCGGTTAATCACAGAAGAAGCTCTGTATTTTACGGCGCTCAGGGAGACAACAAAGCCCTGTGAATGACGTCGCCGTGGGGGAATTACGTGATGTTTTTCAGCGTTGGGAGTTTAGCAACGGAGATTTTAAATCAGCACAATCTGTGCTTGTCTTCTTTTGGTTTACCAGCAACTCTTCGAACGCCGGTTGTTTTGGACGATGTCTGTTGGTGTCATTTCCTACCAAGTTACAACCAATCAGTGTGGGTCAACCAAAAGTTCTGCTCAGGTACTTCACCGGGTCATTCCGATTACCTACCCCTGATCAGGTACTCTGAAAGTTCTGGAAAAAGGCCGTTTGACTGGCCTGGTGAAGTGGAAACACGCCTACAGAATCACTTATCTGAAACTCAGGGAGAGTAAAAACTGATGGAACTAGTTCTGACCCAAAGGTCTGTGAGGCCCGGTATATCAGAACAAAAGAAAGTCTGCAGGTTTTTGTTCAGAGAATTCTGGCTAAAGGTTGGTTCAGATGTAGTCAGAACTGGTTCTGAAGCTTTTAAAAATGGTTTTCAACAGTAAGTTTGTTTTCAATCACCTAACAACTGATTCAGCAAACAGATTTAGGTTTCATCTGCAAAACCTTATTGGATCTCTGAATCTACCTCCATTAAAGTCAGTTTCAGAACCGCCCTTAAGTGGTTCTGAAATCCTAAGGTCTGAACAGAACCCAGCTCACCTGATGGATCTGGATCTCCACCTTCAGAGCCTCCTGGAGCGTCTGTAGTTCCATCATGGATCCAGTCAGTCTGTCAGCCGATCGGTCAGCCTGCACATGCACACACACACAGATGAACGCACGCACACACACGCACACACACACACACACACACACACACACACACGTGCACACAAACAGAAGCACACGCATGCACACAAGCACACATCGACGCACGCACGTGCGCAGGTACACACACATGCACACAAACACATGAACGCACACACAGAAAACACAGCACTCAGTTAGGAGGTATGGCCATATTTGGACTTCCTAGCAAGACCAGAGGTTTGGGTAGTTCACATGGCTGGAGGCTGGTTCTATGTGGTTCTGAGAAAGGGCCCAGTTCTGACCTTACCTGAACACCGTATCCAGTAGGAAAACCATCCAACTGAAGCATTAAAGTGGTGCTGAAAAAAAAAATGGAAGTCTTTAGTTTTTCCTGTTAAAAAAAAAAATCCAAAAATTTGGGTTCAGGTTTCCGACCCAGTCAGGCCATCTTCACTGATCTGGACCGCGTCACCTTCTATAAACATGCTTTTATTTTGACACGAACTAATATATATATATATATATATACATACACATGTATATATACATATATATATATATATATATACATACACATGTATATATACATATATATATATATGTATATATATATACATATATATATATATGTATATATATATACATATATACATATATATATGTATATATATATACATATATATATATATATATATATACATATATACATATATATACATATACATATGTATATATACATATGTATATACATATACATATATATATACATATACATATATATATGTATATATATACATTTACATATGTATATATATACATACATATACATATGTATATATATACATACATATACATATGTATATATATATACATACATATACATATGTATATATATACATATATACATATGTATATACATATATACATACATATACATATACATATATATATATATACATACATACACATGTATATATGTATATGTATACACACATACACATGTATATATATGTATATATATGTATATATATATATATATATACACATATATATACAGTTGTGGTCAGAGGTTTACATACACTTGTAAAAAATATAATATAATGGCTCTACTGAGTGTCCCGTTATTTCTAAAACTCTGATTTTTCTCTGATAGAGTGATTGGAACAGATATTTCTTTGTCACAAAAAACATTCATGAAGTTTGGTTCTTTAATGTCTTTATTATGGGTTAACAGAGAAAAGTGATCACATTTGCTGGGTCACAAATATACATACAGCAACAAGAACTAGCAATTTTGGTGACTTAGAAACGTGTCAGTGAACTGAGCTTCATAGCATGGCTTCTTAACTTCTTGTGAGTGATTATGAGTGACTACAGCTGGTGACTTCTCTTAGGCCAGGTAAACAGGGCTCATTGGATACAAACGCCCACAAACGCTACAATGGGAAAGTCAAAGGAGCTCAGCATGGATCTGAAAAAGCGAATTATTGACTTGAACAAGTCAGGAAGGTCACTTGGGGCCATTTCAAAGCAGCTGCAGGTCCCAAGAGCAACAGTGCAAACAATTGTTTGTAAGTTTAAGGTGCATGGCACTGTTTCATCTCTGCCAAGATCAGGAAGAAAACGCAAGCTATCACCTGCTGCTGAGAGAAAATTGGTCAGGAGGGTAAAGAGTGAACCAAGAATCACCAAAAAGCAGATCTGCCAAGAATTAGAAGCTGCTGGAACACAGGTGTCATTGTCCACAGTCAAACGTGTTTGGCATCTCCATGGACTGAGAGGCTGCCGTGCAAGAAGGAAGCCCTTGCTCCAAAAGCGGCACCTTAAGGCTCGACTGAAGTTTGCTGCTGATCACATGGACAAAGATAAGACCTTCTGGAGGAAAGTTCTGTGGTCAGACGAAACAAAAATCAAGCTTTTTGGCCACAATGCCCAGCAATATGTTTGGAGGAGAAAAGGTGAGGCCTTTAACCCCAAGAACACCATGCCTACAGTCAAGCATGGTGGTGGGAATATTATGCTGTGGGGCTGTTTTGCTGCCAATGGAACTGGTGCTTTACAGAGAGTAAATGGTATAATGAAGAAGGAGGATTACCTTCACATTCGTCAACATAACCTAAAATCATCAGCACGAAGGTTGGGTCTTGGGCGCAGTTGGGTGTTCCAACAGGACATTGACCCCAAACACACATCAAAAGTGGTAAAGGAATGGCTAAATCAGGCTAGAATAAGGGTTTTAGAATGGCCTTCCCAAAGTCCTGACTTTAACCCCACTGAAAACATGTGGACAGTGCTGAAGAAACAAGTCCATGTCAGAAAGCCATCAAATTTAACTGAACTTCACCAATTCTGTCAAGAGGAGCGGTCAAAGATTCAACCAGAAGCTTGCCAGAAGCTTGTGGATGGCTACCAAAAGCACCTAATTGAAGTGAAAATGGCTAAGGGACATGTAACCAAATATTAGCACTGCTGTATGTATATTTGTGACCCAGCAAATGTGATCACTTTTCTCTGTTAACCCATAATAAAGACATTAAAGAACCAAACTTCATGAATGTTTTTTGTGACAAAGAAATATCTGTTCCAATCACTCCATCAGAGAAAAATCAGAGTTTTAGAAATAACGGGACACTCAGTAGAGCCATTATATTATATTTTTTACAAGTGTATGTAAACCTCTGACCACAATAGTGATGGGAATTCCGGCTCTTTTTAGAGAGCCGGTTCTTTTGGCTCAGCTCACCAAAAAGAGCCGGCTCTTTCGGCTCCCAAATGGCTCCTCAGATTTTCTGTTGCGTAGAGTACATTTATAACCAAAATAATGCTAACTATATGTAAAATGATTTACTAATGTAAACAAATGCAATATATCAAATATTTATCATTTCTATGGATTTAATAACTGAACACTTTAAGAAATCTTCACTTTCCGACTGCTGGCGCTCATTTTCTCACCATCTTCGTCGCACTCTCCTCTCTATCTCGCTCGCCTTTTTCCTCCTCCTCATTCCCTCTCGTCTACCTCCACCCGCATGTGCTCTGCTGTGTGTCTGAGTCTGATCCTCCCTCTTCCCCGTCCCTACTGCTCTGTGTGGACAGTCTGGTCACACAGTTACACATGTTGACCAATCGCCTGTAGTGTTCACCAAAGCAAGAGGGGAGGGGGAGAGGAGGGGACGGCTCCCAATGATGAGCCGGCTCCCGTCGTTCACTTCAAAGAGCCGGCTCTTAGAGCCGGTTCGTTCGCGACCGACACATCACTAGACCACAACTGTATATACACACATGTATATATACACATCTGGTTGGCACTTAATGCACTGTGATTTATTATTGTGTGATTGTTCAGTGAAACAATGTTGATTTTATATTTCCTCATCAGGTTGACGCAGTGATAGCTTGCTCCTGTTGTACTGCTGTGTGTTGTTTTTCCTCTTTCTGCAGGTCTAGAAGCAGATCCCTGTTCATCATTGATTGTTTATATTTGTCGAACACCTCCCTGGTGAGGTTTTCCGGGGACGTCCAACTGGGAGGAGGCCTAAAGGTAGACCCAGGACACTTTGGAGGGACTATAGTCTCTCACCTGGCCAGGGAACGCCTTGGGATTCCCCCAGAAGAGCTGGCCCAAGTGATTGGGGAGAGGTAAGTCTGGGCCTCTCGACTTATGGGCCATTCCCATCTGTACCTGGTCGGCCCGGCCCGAATAGCATAGCTTGCTTACATATCTTGGTGGCCTGCCTTTTTTCAGGGTGCAACGAGACTGTTTTTCAGCCCTCTTTCTGAGGTGGTCTGCTTCAGGCTGACCAGGGCCAACACACCCACTGCTGACAGCAAATTCACACCTTCCATTAGAGCAAGCCTCTGATTGGTGGGTAGAATCAGCCCACATGGGCTTAAGGCATGCTCAATTCATTATCATTCTGATTACCTAGAAGCTGAAAATGTCTCTGACTGCATTCCTTGTATACCTAAGCAAGGATGTGTGGAATCAACCGGGCCAGGCTGGGGCCGACTGGAGCTATCCGGGCAGGGCCGACCAGGTACAGATGAGAACGGCCCATTAGGTTACTGAGTGAGTGAGTGAGTGAGTGAGTGAGTGAGTGAGTGAATGGATGGATGATCGGCTGATGCTGATATGTAAAAAATGGCATAATATCAGCCCGATATATCGTCTACCTTGGGCCAGAATCAAACAGGGTGAAGCTGGATTTAGCTTATCTGCTGCACAGAGATAGAGTCTTAGAGCCTTTGTTCCCAGAGCTTTGCTTCTTCTTAATTCTCAGTGCAGATAGGGGGCGTGTGCATTACTTGTACGTGTGCATGCATGTAGTTACATGTATGCGTGCGTGCGTGCGTGCGTGCGTGTGAGCCAAAGGTTTACTCATTGTTGGTCATTCACATGTGAGGTTATGACATGAAAGCATATATAGGTTTTATGGGTTTTACGAATGTGTAAATTGGTTGGGTTTTTAGAATTTAGAGATTTTAGTGCCGGCTGCTTCACAATGCTGTCTCGAATTTCCCCTCGGGGACTAATAAAGTTGTCTTGAGTCTTGAAAGTCAGCTTCCTTACGACCTCAAATGGGCCACAACTCTACAAACTTTTAAATCAAAACTGAAAACTTTAATGTATTTATCAGTCTTTAAATGAATGTTTATGCTCCACCTTCTGCACTGTAACTGCTCACCCTTTTACTTTCTCTTTTTATGTTATTCTTGCATCTAGGGCTGCAACAAACGATTATTTGGATAATCGATGAATCGGATGGGGTCTCGACACGATTAATCGATTAATCGGATTACATGGGGAAATTTTTAAAAACTGCTAGGGAAACGTTATTTCTCTCCTTCCTTCACTTTATTTAACACAACATTATTAGAAAACAGTTCAATAGCAGAAAAACAACATGCCATCACCTAAATTGTCTTATAAGGTGTATAGACAGAGACCCTAAGCTACATCTATCTGTGACCTAAAATGCTTGGTCCAAGTTAAACAGCTTAAGGGCAATTCTCATCTGTTTTTTTTTATCTCATCTGTTGACATTTATTTTAAATGTAATTAAACATAGGCTGTGAATTAATCAAAATTGATCACTATTTCCAAAAATGACTGAAAAAATACCAAATAAAACAAAAGTAAATGAATGCCATCCTCCTTGAGATGATGCCCGGGGCAACTGCCATAAAGTCACATCAAGAAATGCTGCTGATCATTCCAATGATCCCAAATAGACTCACATTAAGCCACATGAAAGCAACTGAACCCAAAAATATATTAACCAGTATATAACTGCACTCTCACACAACACGCCTGCAGCAACAGTTAGGACTCCTCCCTCCCTTTTAAAAGCGTTTTTGCTTCTGAGGACATTGTGGTTGTAAAACCACACGCTAGTAGTCTGGCCCCGGTGTGATCAACCAGTTTCTGCGGGAATGTGACGGCGGAACAAGGGCCAGATTAACACTTTGTTGTACCCTGGGCAACAATATTCAAGGGCTCCATCATCACGACCCGAGGATCACCATAATATGGTCACATACAGAATATTTTACTGTAATATGCAGTAAATATACTCAATACTTGAATGCCTGACATCACGTAACCCGCCCAGAGTAACCTTTGACCCACCTCGTGTGGACTGACCAATGAGGAGAGGGTCTTAACTTGAGGCCCTCTCTTCATTGGTCAGTCTGCATGAGACTGACTCTCAACTGACGTTCAGTCGTAGGCAGCGAAGCGTCTCTGTGCAGCGCAAAAGCCCGGGTGGACAGTTTGTTTAATGTAGGGTGATCATATTTCCATTTCCAAACAAGAGGACAGGGGATCTGTGCCTATGACGTCACACTATGGCAACGCCACACAAACCATGTTGGGACCCATTTTTTGTAAGAACTAAATTAATATCAGATTCTGCCAATAAAAGGGCTTTAAAACAATTCATATGCAAATATTTTGCATATTTAATGCAAAATCTAATTTTTCTGCTTTAGTGCTGCAACAAGGTTTTATTAATAATAAATTATTATACCTTTTGTTTTACTACAGCATCGGTAAGCTTCCTGTGCACAGATGATTAAGGACGCTTGTTTCAGCTGTGAGATTAGACGATAGGATCAATGAAAAAAATAAGTTGTCACACACTCCATGGAAACTTTCAGAGAATCCACAAATAGTGGCTTTCAAATGGTTTTGTTACTTTTTGCAAGTTTATAAAAGAAGCAGATGAGACAGCATGTCTGATAATTTAGTTTTTCATCTGATAAAATTAGAACATGTCAGTAATGTCTGAGGGGCTTTTATAAACACTGTATAACTAACACTACTGGAGAGGGCATGAATTACACAGAGGCTTCTGGGGAGCCCAGTTGGGGGGGGGGGGGGGGGGGGCATTTTGCCTTGGCCCCCAAAATGTCTTGAAACGGCCCTGGGTGTGTGACTGAGTTTTGAAGGTGATCTGAATTGTATCAGATGTATAAATATGACATGTGTATAACTTATTGTTTTTAACTGGTAAAAACGTGTAGTGGAGATAAATCTACCTACATTTTACTTTTCAACACTTTGTTTTGTTTTCTATTTTTTATTTAACTATTTTCCTGTCCTGTCTGTCTCTCATCTTCCTGCATCTCCTCTTAATTCTCCAGAAAATCTGTTGCCTGGATTCTTACCTTTTCACCTCATCAGTTACTTTTGAGCAGATCAAAGGGATCTCCTGACCGAAAAGCGCAGAGCGCGTTTTCGATGCTGCGTCAGTGAGGTGACATCACCACAGCACAGGTGATGAGCTCCGCAGTAGCGAGCTTCAGGCACAAATAAGACAGAAAATAGAGAACATGTGCGGACATGAACGATCGTGTGCTAATTATAGTTTTTTGGTTGCGCCACTTTGAGAATGGACCGTGCGCTGGAAGCAGCTGCCTGGATCGCTGCGCAACAATGCGGAACCGGTTCGCAGCAGCGCAAGTCTGCCGGCTCTCCCTCGCGCTGATCTGCCGGTACCGGCTCTCCCTCGCGCTGATCTGCGGCTCTCCCTTGCGCTGATCTGACTTGCTCTGGTCTGCGCGCAAAGGCGGGCGGGAAGGGGGGGCGCTTTTGGAAGAGTTGTGCGACACAACGAATCGATGACGCAATTCGTTGCCAACGCTTTTAGTAATCGATTTTCATCGAATTTATCGATTCGTTGTTGCAGCCCTACTTGCATCTAATTATATTTGTGTCTTTTAAATTTGATTTTATAATCAGCTGTTTTATGTTGTCACATTGATTTTAATGTTTTATGTTCCGGCTCCTGGAAAGCACATTGACTTTCTTCTGTGTCTGACATGTGCTGTACAAATAAAGCTGCCTAGTCTGGAATCTGGAACATATTCTGACCAAAAGAAAAACAAGACTCACCACCTGGCTGTAGGACTGGTCACCACCCCGCTGTGCTGCCCTGTAAAAACACAAGCACACACCATTTAAAGCTAACATCTCTGGAAGTCCCGGTGGAAGAAGCATTACATTACAATTGAGACGCTTCTCCAGTGTGTGCGCTCCTCATACCTGCAGGTATTCACTACCTAGGCAACACTTCACTTCTATGAATGAACGAAAACAGGAAAAAGAAATCAGCAATAGGAAAGAAGGAAGAAATACTATTTCCAGTTTTATATTTTCCTCTTTAGTTCATAACAGCTGAGATTTGTACTCGTGGAGAAAAATCAGGAAAAAACATTATTGTATACATCAGTGTCACCTACTAGGCAATTGTATCAACAATACACATAGCAACTTCTGATCAATCCATATCAATTTCAGATTTTAAATAATGTATTGATGTAAACCACACCCACTAATTTCCAAATAATAAATAGGAGGTGCATTCATCTGTGTATCTCCTTTGATCCGAATTAGTGATATTTTCAGCACCAGAACAATGAAGCAAAGAAACAGACTCCTGAGTTTGTTAGTAATTTTATTCATTAGGTGCATCTGACCTGTTCCATTTTTCTCTGAAATGAGATCAAATCAGTGCTTCTATGGGTTGTCTCCTCTCTGCACTGCAAATATTTACTTTATTATAATGTTCACTGTAATGCATCTTGATGTTCTTAACAAATTAATTAAATCAAAGATATTGGTCAATAATGCCAAATATGTAAATTTGTGTTTCAGTCATTTTTATACTGGCTTAAAAATACTTCATTAAGTCTACTAAGCAGGGGTGTAGAACGTGTTTAATAGGGCCAGCCCAGTAATGATCTTGGACCAAAATAAAGGGAGCAGAAAGCCAAATACAGGGGGCAAAAGGAGATGTTTTTCCAGACGCCAAGAAAAATGAAAGGCCAAACCCCCCCCCCCCCCCCCCTCCCCTGCAAAGTGTGTCACTGAGAGTTTAAAACAAAAATTATTCTTGTGCAAATATTGGTGTATTCACCTTTAAAACTAGTTATTAAAATGCAGCAGTTGCTGGATTGGTGCAGTTCAAAGTGGAGTGCATAAAATAAAACAATATTAACATAAAAGTGAGACGTGTCATAATTTCAATAAAAGCAAATGAAAAATGAGGAATACTAAGAACACAATAGGTTAGACTGTGGCGATAATGTGGTGTAATCGTGTCCTTATATGGGGGCGGTCACTGCGCTGCTGCGAACTTACGGATATCTTGGACATAACTTGCTTTTACTGCGATCGAAGCCGCGCTCATTAAGTTTTTACTAACAAGCTGCTCCTACAGGTGTCTGTCCTCCATAGTCCCCATGCAGTCTCTGGTGATCTGAGCTCCAGCTCTAATGGAGAAGCTCACCAAGCGCTGCAGCACTCAAGTTTGCTGTCTCAGTTGATTTAGTTCAAAAAGCAAATCTTACGGCTCGTGTTTACTTTCACTTTCAATAGTTTCCGGCCGGAGCTCGGCAGTTACTCCCCACGTCATCGTGACACCTCCGAACAAACATTGTCTCGACAGCAACGTGGTGTCCACGGCCAAAACATATATCACCTTACATATACAAGCGCATGTACACACACTCACACATGGTGCTCGCATAAGTGTGGACTTGGGCATTTTCAACACGCCTTAAGGCTGTGGTTGGCACTTAATGCACTGTGATTTATTATGGTAAATAACCTGTATTTGATATAGCGCCTTCTAGAGTCCAGGAACCCCACCAGGGACTTTACAACACAGTCATTCACCCATTCACACACTGGTGGGGATGAGCTACGATGTAGCCACAGCTGTCCTGGGGCACACTGACAGAGGCGAGGCTGCCGAGCACAGGCGCCACCGGTCCCTCCGACCACCACCAGCAGGCAAGGTGGGTTATAAATAAAGCTTTGATTGATTGATTGATTAAAAGTATTGCCCAAGGACAAAACGACAGCGACAAACTGAGCGGGGCTTGAACCTGCAACCTTCCGATTACAGGGCGAGCACTTAACTCCTGTGCCACAGTCTTAATCACAAGTAAGTGAAACAACGTTGATTTTATATTTCCTCATCAGGTTGACGCAGTGACAGCTTGCTCTTGTTGTTTTGTTGTGTGTCGTTTTTCTGCAGGTCTAGAAGCAGACTCTTGTTCATCATTGATTGTTTATTTTTGTGGGTTAGGGTTGCAAAGTCTCCCTAAGCCAGACAGGCCACGGGGAAGAAAATGGTATCAGTGTATTTGAGTTGTTGTGAAAAGCTTTATAAACCTTACGTATTATTATTATTAAAAATGGTCGCGGTCGGATGGCTAAATATCTTTACTTCTTAATGGGGCAATGGCAGTGCTGTTGACAAATTTACAGGAAGCGGCGTTCTAACCAATCACAAGCTTGTGGTCTCCTTTGACAGATTGTTAAAAATGTGGGCATGTCTCAGTCACCCTCTGTGAGCCCGACAGAGAGCCCTTGCGCTGACGCATAAAGGCGTTGCATGTCTCCGCACCAACACAGACGGAGAAGTTTAAGTCAGGCTTAACAAAAGAGGGGGATGCAGCATTTGTGAAATTTAAGCCCATGAGGTAGCATGTAAAGTAATGATGGTACAAATAAAGCAAGGCTTTGAGGCATGTATCAAGCAGGAAGGGGTGTGTCCATGCAGCCCTGCGAGGTTTGCTTCCTTTCAAGGAAAACCATGTGACAGATAAAAAAAACAAGGCCTCGTTTCACCTGGATCATGGTTCTTTTTCTGTGTTCCTTTTCAAAATAAAAGCAGCCAAACTCACTGTGCTTTGTGGGTTGTTTTGTTTGGTCCTTGTGTCCATCAGAGTTTGAAGTGGTTGAGCTTGTAGAAAAAGCAGATTTACTTCCATCAGCAGTGTTGGGAGTAATGCGGTACAAAAGTAATTAATTTCTGTAATGCATTACTTTTTGCTGTAATGTGGTAATGTAAGGCATTACAGGGAAAGAAAATGATAATATTTATTCGGTACAATTGTCAGTAACGCGGTAATTACAATGCATTTTAAAACCCAGAATCAAGACGTGGGTTTCCTAAAAATTCTAATTGCGGGAAACCTGAAAAAAGATCCAGTATCTGCATATATGACGTCATTTATGGACTCAGCTTTGCGGGCATTCTATGAGCAGAGAGGACGCGGCGGTAATGGCTCAAATACTCCAGCTGCGTCCTGCGCGTGGCCGCTGTTACATTCACAAAATCGCTCCACCAAAACAAAGTCATTCGTTTGCGATCGTTTATATCAGCCCATATTCTCTGGTACTTCATGTACTTTTCAACTGAGTTCATAATCTGTGCCCCGGTGATTTCAGCTCATTGCTGCTGGTTCGGTAGATCCCTTTGGCTGATTAGTTAGAAAGTAGGAAATCTAGAAAACAGTTTTTCTGGAAGACGGAGAAAACATGCAGCATGAAAGAAGGTTAGAGAGAGAAAGGGCAGGAAATTATTCACATAAAACCAAGAAAAAAAGTAGGTAGATTTATCCCCAATACACATTTTTACCAGTGAAAAGCAATAATATATAAGCATTTAATATTTATACATGTGATAGAATCAGATCACCCCAGAAGTCAGTCCAGGGCCGTATAAAGGCATTTGAGGACCAAGGCAAATATAGGCTTGGAGCCCCCACTACCTCACTCCCTGCTCAGTTAATATAAGATGGCAGCGTGTTGAGAGTACAGATTGTTGTTGCTTTTATTTAATAAACAATAATTTTAAAGCACTGTTATTATATCTGACTGTTTTTAACAGCAACCCTAGCTCAGACACCACATGACTTTCCACATATATGTCATGAGCTCACTGAGCGTCAGATTACCAGATTCATACTGAAGTTGTTTTGGTGAAAGTAACTTAAAGTAATGCAAAAGCAGTGTAATGCCTTACATTTTAAAATCAGTAATACTGTAATGTAATGAATTACTTTAAAATGAGGGTAACAAGTAATAAATAATGCATTACAGTTTTGAAGCAACTTGCCCAACACTGTCCATCAGGAGCTATTTTAGGGCCAGAGGTTTAGAAGAGCTGAGCACTTCAGGGGTGTCGAATGCCCCTCTGCTTGGTGGTAGAGCATGCAGGGACTGGGGTTCACTTTAAAGATTATTCAGCACCCCGAAAAATGACAGAAAACACCTTTGCTGGCCATGCATTCCAAAGGTAAGTGTAAAATGCCGATCCCTGACACTCCACCTAATGTGTTTTGTGTAACCCTTTAATTTGAAACCAAAATTATTTCCTTGAATTAATGACTAGCCTACATGATGCATGAGCATAACCCACAATTAAGTGCAAAGTAACAGCAGGTGGTGAGAATCATGGTTATAAATAAAAAAGGACACTTTTGTGATGAATCATACAATCTAGTTTATTTATAGTACAGGTTAGACTTGATGCATGCCATGCTTCAACTCCACCAGCAGATGTCACTACATAAAGATGAGTAAATGAAGCACTGAATGAAGTATTCAGTAGTGAACCTTTTGGTGAAACAATTGGCTGAAAAGCCTCATTGCTTCATCAGGCCATCAATAAAAAGGGAAAGCAGTGGGGGCATGACATGGAACCCTGCGGAACTCCAAACAACAGGATTGATGAGGGAAGTAAAGTAAATTACTGAACTGAATTAAGACAGTTGACTCGTTAGGGGGGATGAAGGTGTATGAAAAGTGTTAAATCAAACCAATCCCAGTTTTCCTGGTTAAACCAAACCAATCTCGGTTTTCCTGGTTAAAACAAGCAAATCACGGTTTTCCGGGTTAAATCAAACCAATCACAGTTTTCCTGGTTAAACCAAACAAAACCCGGTTTTCCTGGATAAAACAAACCAATCCTGGTTTTCCTGGTTAACCCAAACCAATCCTGGTTTTCCTGGAAAATTACTTTTGTTATCTTGCTTGTTTAAAATATTAATGAGACTTTGAAACGTTGAAAACGTTTAGAATAAAGATGCAATAATTAAGTTGCTTTAGTGGTATGAAGAATACCTTTAATTTTCCCACTGAGGGACTAATAAAGGAATTTTTATTCTTATTCAGAGGAAAACAAACACGTTCCGTTAGATCCACTAAACGTGATGACCCGTCAAAAAAAAACTGATTTTCTATTTTCAGATCAAAACAGAAGAAAAAAAACTCAGCTGTAAAAAAACAAAACGATGATAAAGTACAAATAAAGTTAAGATGCAAACCCGAACGCAGAACCCGGACCGGACCGAGCAGGAAGTGGGGACCTGCCGGAACCGGAGCTGACTTTTTTTTAACACAATTTAACTAACGGAGAAGAATCCGGTTCGCTGCGGTTCTTCTGATCAAGTTTGGCTTGGAGCGAAAGTCCCGAAGTCTGCGGGAACCGGGTCGGGATGCGGGCTGAGTGGACTCACTGGGTTAAGTTGTCAGATAAACTTCCATCAGCACCGCCTCGGCAGAGGCCCGAACCCCGTTAAAATGGAGGGTTGAGGCGGAGAAGTGCTTTAAACACTCTAAAGTGTTTGTGTGTCCTCCCGCTGAAACACACCGGACCCTCCGGTAACAGCCCCGGTGCCTCACGGCGGGCCTGCCCACGAACAATCGCCCGTTCAGCAAAGCTCCCCGTTGTTTGGTCGGTGTGAGTGTGTTGGAACGGGTCGTGAAAGCGACCGTCGCATCGCTCCTACCGAACACCGAGAACAAGTGGAGAACGTTAGCCGCTATGGCTAACCGTCCTGCTAGCTGCCCGGGCTAACGGCGCAAGCAGGCGGGTAACTTCCAGGAAAGAGCCGCCAGGAGCCTGCGGAGGGAGAACCGGAGGAGCAAAACACGGAGGACAGGAGGAAGGCGAAGAGCAGGAGCGGTCCCGACAGACGCCATCTTTTCAAAACAAACCCTGACAGAGCGCAGGCGTCGCTGGTCCAAGTTCTGTCGGCCCCTTGTCCTCCACAACTCCGAGAATAAGAACCACAGCAGCTAAACGCACGAAAACACACGGACAGACACCGGCCACCGGCTCACACACCTGCCCGCACACCTCCGCCGACACGCGGGTACGGGCGGTGAGCAGCAGCCGCCGGAACTTCCACAGCAGACTAAATTAAAGTTATGAAATTAAAAAAGCTCAATGTGCACTTACTCAGCAGCAGTCCTCCTCCAGATTAATTAAATATATATCCGCTGAAAGCCGATCCACGGCGGAATAACGGCACACCGACACACCGGCAGCCTCCTGCCCGCCGAGCTGCACTTTGTTCCGGAATTTTAGAAGAAGTTTTAGTAAAAAATGTGTAAAAACGGAGAAACTGAAGCTACAAAACAAGAAGAACTCTTCTTCAATCTCATTCAGCTCAGCCTCATCACAACGCAGATCCCTGCGCTCCCGAGCTGGAGGAAGGGGGGACGAAAACTACTTCTACCTCCGGTAAACGGTCGTTTTTACATCGTTAAGCGTTTTATATTTTCTTCCGCCTTCGGTAAAGTTGGTTAAATCGGTCCGATCAGTGAGGCGAGGGGGGAAGAAAAGGTGTTCGAGAAGCGGACTAGTTTTTGTGTCGGTGCGGCGAATTTATTTCACTTTGCCTAAGGAACGGCGGTGCTGCGACTCCCATTGCCTAGGGAAAAAACCCGGATGTAAACTCAGTGAAACTCTACGGAGAGAAAGTAAGCACGCGCAACCTCCTCTCGCGCGCGCGTACACACACAATGGAGTTGTGGTGTCCTCAGCAGCGGACCGTCAGCTCTCAGACAGCCGATGTTGGACCTCCATATTGCTCGCAGCTGGAGGAGGATGGCAGGTAGCGTGACATCTTTTCTTCTGTATTTTTACCTGAATGGAGGACCAGGCCCAGGTGGAGTCATAATGCTCGGAGAGGCTTCTTCAGTTTGAGAAACTTGGTTCTCCTCATGAATCCACCAGGTGTTGTTCCTGAGTAGACCCCAGTTGACCCCAGGCATTTGGACATAGAGAAGCCTCCAGGTGTGGGTCTGATTATTTTTTTCCCTGGGAATGGCTAAAACCAAGACGCCGTTAAAGGTTTCACCTCGACAAGAACAAAGTCAAAGAAACGGTACTCCATTTATAGAGGACCCTGGATGACACAACCTCCACCAACAGAAACAGGTAAAGTTTATCCAATAGAACATGGCTGACGTTTTTTCTTTCTAATTATAGGGGACATATGATGCTAATCTCACCTTCCCTTGGTCTATAAACTCCAAACATGAATAAACCCATCTATCTGTTTTCTGTCAGCAATATATATATATATATATATATAAACTTTATATTCATTTATTTTTATTTATTTTTTAAATCAGTCCATAAATGTAAAACCCATTTAAACTAAATAATTGAGTAAATAAATCATAATTTCAAATAAAGTACATAGGGGCAATGGTGGCACAGGAGTTAAGTGCTCGCCCCATAATGTTTCATTCAGAAACACATGAAACCAACCTCATGCCCTACTGATTTCATTCCTACTACCTTGTTAATCAGGATGTTTGACCAAATGGGCCCATGCGTTGTAGATTTTATTAATTTATCTCTACAATCTGGCTCTGTACCATCTGTTTTCAAACATGCAGTTATTGAACCCATCCTTTAAAAACCAAGTTTGGATTCATCTCAGCCTAAAAATTACAAACCCATTTCAAATGACCATTTATCTCTAAAATATTGGAAAAGGTTGTGGCAGATCAACTGATTACTTTTCTGGAACTACACAACAGTTTTGATAAATTCCAGTCTGGTTTTGGTAAAAAGCATTCAACAGAAACAGCTTTGCTTAAAGTTTCCAGTGACATCATGATGGCTGCAGACAACAGGGAATTCACAGTGTAGGAGCCAAATATGTTGTTTCCTTTTCTTTGGTCTCGATGATATGTGGACGTGTCATTGTTACTGGTCAGAATAAAGGTAGTGATGTCATTGTTGGCGTCAGGCACTATTCCGGAAGGGCAAACAGGTTTTTGACCGCTGTGGCGTGAAGACGTTTGAATGGGAAAGTAAGCGAATTACTCCTATCATTGTTTCACCTGGAATGCAATCAACATTAAACAAGAAGCAATATCATAACAATTCCACGCTTAAGGCTGTTTTTTTAAGTAATTTAATTAGTCAAAATCGGATCAACACAGAGCGTCAACCAGGTCCCGGTCTAGCAGCCTCAGAAGTTCGAGTAATGGACTTGACTTCTACACACAGTGTTAGTATTGTTAGATCTTTCTGCAGCTTTTGACACTGTTGATCACAGCACCTTAATTAACAGACTTGGTGACTCGGTGGGGAACTATGGAACTGTTCTAAACGGGTTTAGATCGTACCTTTCTAACAGAAGTTACAGTGTCTGTAGAAACCAAATCATGTCAGATTCTACCCATCTGTTCTGTGGGGTACCCCAAGGCTCTGTTTTGGGTCCACTGTTGTTTCTGCTGTACATACACCCTCTTGGACATACACTTGATTATTTTCATAATGCCTCTTATCACCTATATGCAGATGATATTCAGCTGTACTGCTCCTTTAAGGATTCTGAGTTCTATAAACTGTCTGAATTACTAGAGTGTCTATCAGCAATCACCAGCTGGCTAGAAGATAACTTCCGCCAGTTAAACTCTGAAAATACTTGATGTCTGATCATTGCCCCTGAGAGCACGGTTCCTCTGATTAGTCAACAACTTGGTCATTTATTGTCGGCCATCAAGTCAAACTTGAAGAATTTGGGTGTTTTTGACCAATCAGTGTCTCTTGAAGGCCACTCAAAACATTTGTCCGAAACTGTTTTTATCACTTAAGAAATATCTCCAAACTGCGGAGGTTGGTGTCAAAACATGAACTAGAAATGGTTATCCATGCCTTTATCTCCTCCCGTCTAGATTACTGTAACACACTCTTCACATGTTTTAACAAAAAAGCCCTTGACCACCTTCAGTTGGTCCAGAAATCTGCAGCGAGGCTCCTAACTGGAGCAAACAGAAGAGCACACATCACTCCTATTCTAATGTCTCTGCACTGGTTACCCGTTAACTTTAGATTTCATTTTAGAATCCTGATTATAACTTTCAGGGCTCTACATGGTCAAGCTCCTCGCTATATTACTGAAATGTTAAAGCCTTATGCTCCAACCCGAGCCCTCAGGTCCACCCACCAGAACCTTCTAGAAGTTCTAAAGACCAGATATAAAAGTCGAGGTGATCGCTCCTTCCAGACTGTTGCACCCCGACACTGGAATGATCCTCCTTTATCCTTATGCAGCATTGACAGTCTGGACACTTTTAAAAAACAGCTATATACCCTTTTATTTAAAGCTGCTTTCACATAAATCTTTTATTTCCTTATTTTTAACTCAAAATTTTAATCTTTCATCTGTTTATGAAATTTTATAATTTTATTACTTTATTTTTTCTGATGTTAATCTGATTCTGTTTTGAGATCTTTATGATTTTATGACTTTGTGTTATTTTGTTTTGATCGATGTGAAGCACTTTGTGATTCTTTGTCTGTGATAAGTGCTATATAAATAAAATGTACTTACTTACTAATGGGAAGGTTCCAGGTTTGAGCCCCGCTCAGTCCGTTGCTGTCGTTGTGTCCTTGGGCAAGACACAACCCACCTTGCCTGCTGGTGGTGGTCGGAGGGACCGGTGGCGCCAGTCCTCGACAGGCTCGCCTGTGTCAGTGCGCCCCAGGGCAGCTGTGGCTACATCGTTGCTCATCCCCACCAGTCGGTGTCGGTGCTGCTCACCATTTTCAAGACAAAAGTATGAAACTTCATAGTTTTTGTGGATGCTTTTGTGATGGACAGCATCTGGTGAACTAAACTGAAATTCTAAAAAATAAATGTTTAAATAATATTTCAATTAATTAGAAAGCCTTTTTCTGGTGATCTACCATGTCCAATAAACATTGAAACCCGTTCCATTGTCTCATAGCAGGTATGATCTGTGTGGTGTAATTAGGGTTATCTGCAGTGGGAAACTGTGGATAATTCAGCGTTAAAACTTCTCCAACATCGCCGAAAAACAAGAGCATCACGCCACCTGCACAGACAAAATCTAAGCAAAACTGGACCGGCCGCACACGACAGAAGCAGAACCAGAGACAACCACCATCAGGACGGCTCCATTTCCACATAGGAAGTCTGCTGTGTGGGAATATTTTACATTCCCAAAGCTGCTAAAGGAGAAATTCAGATGGCTCGTCCATCTGCAGAGCTAAAAGAAAAATGTGACACTCCCAACTTGTTTCATCATCTCTGACATCCTCACACAGACAAATCAGCTCCAACTGAGTCAGGTTACGTTGGTGACTGAAGTGATTTAACAGTAATATTAGAACAATCCATGGGAACAATAGTTCATTTATTATTGTTGTTCTATGTTTCCCTGTTTCTGTCTACAACAGGCCTGTACGGAAAGCCATTTTAATATTTAACGAACAACACCTCTCTAATTCCTGTTCTACACAGCAATAATATAATTTATCCTGGTCTCAGTGATATTCTTGCTGATCAAAGTGAGAATATGAAGAAGTAGACATGAGATTTAAGGATATTTATAATAACAAATTAGCATCTCCTCTAACTAAGGTGTACCCGTCCTTCAGAGGTAACCCTGACTAACAGCTAAACCTTTTTGTCTTTTTACAAAAACTCAAAACAGGCTATTTGGAAAATATAATTTTAAATGTTGAATCTGTAATTGAAAAATTACAGAGATTACTTTGATTTTACAAATGACATTTTCTAATCATGAACTTTACCAGCATGTTAGTGTGTGTGTGTGTGTGTGTGTGTGTGTGTGTGTGTGTGTGTGTGTGTGTGTGTGTGTGTGTGTGTGTGTGTGTGTGTGTGTGTGTGTGTGTGTGTGTGTGTGTGATTTCTATTTGTTAATACTGATGTGAACTAAATTCATGTAAAATAATCGTGAAACCGTGATTATTTCTCAGACTATAATCGCTGCAAACATCCAAACAGTAAACAACAACAATGTTGCTTCTTTTTTGTTTTAAGTGTCCTCATCGTTTTGGAGGTCCACAGCATTCTGTTCATGCACATTTTGCTTATAAGGATAAACTAGGATTAACTTGATGTCAATGAAAAATGAATGTCTGGTGGCTGCTCCAG